CCTTCCCCCCCCCCCCCCCCCCCCGGGCCCCCAACACACACATATTTGGGAGGCCTATAATATCACGTCGGATTTCTATCAGCTTCAGTATGATAAAATTGTTAATACTTTGTATTTTACATAGGATTATGGTGGATCATCTTATTAAGAGCCTACGGGAAGATCACTGGTGACTACACATTACAGGAAAGGGTCGACATTCAGACTGGAATGAAACTTGTTATGAACTTGTGTCTGTCCGATGGCTTTGATATGTTTCCGACTTTGCTTGTCACTGATGGATCCTGTATGATAGATCGACGAATGGGTATTCATGGTCATCCTCTAGAGATTCAAGTAAGTTTATGTTCTCTACCCCTTTTAGAATTAACCTGTTCTTGATTTTGCAGTTATGTGGTATGACTTTGAGGTGCTAATTCTCGACTTGCTCTTCTATATACTCTAGGAAAGAGTTGAAATCGTAATGAGAATTTTGTTTTGCTGAAAGTGTACCTTTGGGGAATTGGCTAACATTTGAATCTGATCTATAGTTTCTGTGAGATATTTTTTTCCTTACTGGGGAAATATGAAGTTCATTGGGAAAGTCAGCATTCTTTATGATATGTTAAACACTTCGTATATATCTACTAAGATGAGAAACCAAGGTTCAAATTCTTTATGAGTTCTTTAAAAGTTGTCTATATAAAGTATTAACTTACCCACCCTCACGAAGAGAATAAGTTTCTTCCTCCTCCAGCTGTCCCAAGTCCTTGAAACATATGCTACTGCTACACTCATGAGAAGAACACAATGATTTCAGATAAAATGACAAAATAAACTATAAAATGAGATTCCAACTGCCCGGTCTGCTTTCCGCATCTTCGTCAGCTCATGTTCATTACCTTTTCTAATTATGCTACCCGACCACTAAGAATTTGTTATGCTCTGTGTGTGTGTGTGTAGTATGGGGCAGTTGACTGTTGCCTCTTTGTTCTCCTCATGAATAACCAAACACAATGTTATTGGAGGGGAACCTTTGCTTTATCTCCTCTCTTTATACCAGTTGTTTAGCTATAGGATTTGGTCCCAGTTAGATATTTTTGATAGATGGTTGATTGTATAAGATCATCAATAATTAGTTCATACAAGTATACTATGTGGCTCTGCAACCATTACAGTCTTCTCAGATTATTTTTGTTTGATTTTGCAGGCCTTATTTTACTCAGCTTTACGGTGCTCCCGTGAGATGCTTACCTTAGATGATGGATCCAAGAATTTGGTGAGGGCCATCAATAATAGACTCAGTGCATTGTCATTCCATATCAGAGAATATTATTGGGTGGATCTCAAAAAGATCAATGAAATCTATCGTTATAAGACAGAGGAATATTCGACAAATGCTACCAACAAGTTTAATATATATCCTGATCAAATTCCTCATTGGTTAATGGATTGGATTCCCGAGAAAGGTGGTTATCTTATTGGCAATCTGCAGCCGGCTCACATGGATTTTAGATACTTTACAGTAGGGAATCTCTGGTCCATAGTGTCATCGCTAGGTACTCCAAAACAAAATGAAGCTATATTGAATTTGATTGAAGCAAAATGGGATGATCTTATTGGTCAGATGCCTCTTAGGATATGTTACCCTGCCTTGGAGTCTGAAGAGTGGCGAATAATCACTGGCAGTGACCCAAAGAATACGTGAGATCTTTAAACAGTTTTTCTGCTGCATTGCTTTCTGTATTTTTAAATCTAGTTTGCTTCAACATAACAAAACCCCCAACCACCGTGGTATAATATACATAAAAGCGGAAAGTGTCAGCTAAAATTCGTGATGATAATACTTAGTATCACTTGGACTTTTGCAGACCTTGGTCATATCATAATGGTGGATCGTGGCCGACACTTCTGTGGCAGGTAAGACTAATTTGGTTTATGAAGTTTTTCTTTTACAATGAATTATATTAAAGATGTTTATTAGCGCAAGTGCCTTAACACAAACTCATGCACATTCATCTCTTTTGTTATCTTTCAACGCGGACAAACATGAGAGCATGCTTCCACCCTCTGTCGTGTTAGTTTGGCTGACCATTGACACGTGAGCATATGCACTTGCAAGTTCTCACACAAAAACATTGTCATTTCACCTGTGATCTTGTATGCAATGAAATGAAGAAAAAAGTTTGGACTAATGATGTGCTTGGGGAAGAATGTTTCAGCATTATGCTGCCATTAGATATTTGATTGCACCTTTCGTAAATGCTGGTCATGTTTTGGTCAGATATAGCTCTTGTACAATGATTAGTAATTTTTTTCTTCCTGTATTTTTGGCAAATAGAGTAGGTGAATAATTTATATTGGGAATGTTCTTTAGGCATTTGAGCAAAGTTTGTGTCAATTATTAGATCTAATCAGGGGATAATTTGGTGGAAATTGACTCTCTTCAAGAGATAAATGTGAGGTCTTACAGACATAAACATCAGTGCATACAAGCTAACGGGACAAACTCGATGTATGTGCCTATTAAATTTAAAACATTAAATTTTGATTTATTGGTATTCTTATATAAAATTTCAATGCAAATCACAATATCATACATAGACTGTAGTTGGTTATTACAAGAAATGAGGTTTTTTAAGTTTATTTTTCAAAGAAGTTCATATAGCGTTTAAAAAAATGGTGTAGATAATATTTAATATTAGACGAGCCTATAGAAAAAGTCCCATTTATAGTGGTATTCATTTTCTGATAGCTCTGTGTTGTTACTCTCTCAGTTCACATTGGCGTGCATGAAGATGGGTAGGATGGATTTGGCCAAGAAAGCAATTGAAACAGCTGAAAAAAGACTTCCAGTGGATCGTTGGCCTGAATATTATGATACAAGGAATGGGAAGTTTATAGGAAAGCAATCCCGATTATATCAGACATGGTCGATAGCTGGATTTTTGACTTCTAAAATGCTGCTAGAAAATCCAGAGATGGCTTCAGTTTTATTCTGGGAAGAAGACTATGATCTTCTTGAAACTTGCGTCTGTGCTTTGAGCAACTCCAGCCGGAAAAAGTGTTCCCGCATTGCTGCCAAGTCTCAGATTCTGATCTGATGGACTACTAACCATTGCTTTGATGGGAATGACCCCATTTTTTGTGGGACAAAAGCTGGTTTGGGATTCAACATGTTACACGAGACATTCATCTTATAGGTTATACTTTTTCTTTTATTTGTAGCCTGACCTTTCAATATAGGTGACTCTTTTGGCTGGCCCACAACTGTGGGCTTTTAGTAGTTTGTTGTATATACAAAGCAGCTATAAAATATTTAGTGTTGTACAGAAGGCTAAAATGCAATCTTTCATAGAAAATTTTACTCATAATTAGCACTCTGTTGTGCAATTTTACTTGCAAAATGCTTAATGATTCTTTTCCGATTTATTATTTAAGAGTAAAATATATTATAATTGATAAGTTCTCTTTCTTTTTTCATTCCTTATTTAGTATTATCCAATATTGTACAATCTATCACCAGGAACATTGACCTCCAAAATTTTGGACTATTGAAAAGAGATCAGTTTGAACTTATTGTTCATGTGAGCGAATACGATCTATTATAGAACTTATCAAAAAAATGCTCAAGCACTAGAATTCAACATTTTTCGTACTTGATAAAGTTCTTGATCTCTCTTCTCTTGAGCAGTATATGACTTGTACGAAGTTTTTAAGATGTGATCGATGTTCTCTAAAACATAATGTTCTTCCAGTGCATACAAAATAGTATTAGGTCACATATTATCGTATTTAGCTAGTCAACGTTCACAACTAAAGATTTTGGTATCAATGTTTTATTAAATTCTAGAGACAATACTTTGGTATCATTGTTTTATAAAATAATATTACATGTAAATTCAAAATATTTTTTTAACCACGCATTGTTTTCCAAAAAATCACTATTTCAAAACACGGTTTTCTTCAAAAATACATTTTAATGGAGTCACGATACAAAATTTTATGAGAATTACACCAAGTCTTTCAACCTTAGCATTCCTCCTCAATTTGACGGACTAAAATGTTCCAGATGAGAGTTTCTCTAACTTTTTCAATTATAGAACTCCCTATGAATTGAAAAGCAATCCGTCTAAGAATTTAAATTCTAGGGAGCTTAGAATCATAAAAATCATAAAATCTACGAAGTGATTTTATCCTGCAAACAATAAAAATTTAAATATGTACATTTGTCTAAATATGACATGAAAACACGTGAAATCTCAAATTAATTCTCCACGCGTTTCAGAGTCATGAGTTTGGTCAAAATTCTCAAATCTTTTACGCGTCTTGAGACCTTAACGATTGCTATGACAATTCGACTGAAGAGTCGCAGATGAAATATTTGATTACAATGTTACACACTTGAAATTTGGAAGTAACTTCCTGCCATTTATTCCACATGGGAAACCTTAGGGAAAATGCTTGGTCTATAAGGTAGTAGTTTAGCCTTTAGATTTGATCCACTAGTCCTTATAAGGGAGAAGGCTGAGATCTGATTGGGTTCGATACAAAGCCCACATGCATGCGCTACTGCCATTGTTTGTCGAGCTGACTCGGCTCAACTCGACACAGTATGACGCCACTAGCGGATCCAGCACCCGACGAGCTCCCGCGCCCACACGTGCCGGATCCGTTGGTAGCTCTTTTTTTTTTTGGTTGACAGCAATCAACATTTTAGGTTATATTACTGGTAATTCATCTTTGTTTCAATCATGCCTATTGGCTAAGTTGGTTTGGACTGTGCATGTACATGATGCTGGTCTTGAGTTCGAATCCTTTGGCAATCAAGTTATTTTGCAATATTTTTAGTTCTAGAATCTTTATTTTTACCAAAATTAATAATTAATTCAGTGCCAGAAGAGATTTGAACCTGGGACCTTGTGCTAAAATCACTGTAAGCTTAACAATCATGGCAATTGCTCTTTTTTTGGTCTAAGATTAACAAAATATTATATGTTACATCTGGATAATGCAATTACAATCATCCAAACCTATACTCTTCATTTAAATTATATGAAACTTGGCAACAATGTTATTTGATGAATACAATTTATTCTTCTAACAAAATTATATATATTCAATTTAAACAAAAAAATTGTTATATTTAAATTTTAGGTCTTGTTTGATTCTCATTTATTTCAAAATATATTTTTATCTATCTTATTTTTAATCATACATTTTTTTAATAAAAGAATATTATACACAAATTCAAAACTTTTATTTATTTTTAACTACACATTCTCTATCAAATCACTATTTTAAAATGCATTTTTTGCTAAGAAAATGACAACAAATGGGCTCTTAATATTTTATTGCGGTCGACGATCAGCAATCGCCTGTGTTGACTCAAAATCCTGGATCCGCCACTGTATGACGCGAATGGTCATGAATTTATAGAATCTATTGCATGCCTTTCTATCGAAAAATTACTCATTTTCAAATGCAAAAATTTCTACCTTGAACTCTCTAAATTTTGATATTGTTTTAAGTAGAAGTTACTACATTGAGTTCGTTAAAACTCTTACTAATTGCTTTGCTACTTTTGTAAGAGATGAAATAGATAATTGTTGACTGTCTTTAAGCACTATAGAAGAGAGAAAATTTTTCTTGAGGACACATTGTGAAGTTGTTGGGCTCGAATTAATTTCTAATCCTATTTTTGATCATCATCCATTCCTGGTCGATCGATTCAAATCTCGTCTTAGCTATTTGAAAGAGTGAGTATCTTCAGATTGTTTGGAAGAGAAATCAGTGCTTCTAAAATAACAATCTCGAGACAAATTTATATTTTCCACTCCTTATATGATTATCTTATGATTTTGTATTAGAAATGACAAAATTTGATAATACGTTGCAGAAGAAAAATAAAAAAATTTAATAGGTCAGGTTTTAATCGTTGGCAATAGAAATTGCCTTTTTAACTGACAGCATAAAGTTTTACAAAATTTCTCAAGGAATATGCTCCTTCGTACAAAGAGAATGAAAGTGTTATAGAGAAATTGGATGTAGTTGATGTATTGAAGCATTTAGGTTTCTTATGCAGAAACTCCGATCTCGATATGTTGGCCAATATATTATATAAAGTGTACTATATGTATGAAAAAATTGTGGGACTCTTTGAACAGTGAACACCAAGTATAAAAATGAAGATGTTGACATGAAGAATTGTAGCAAGGTAGGATATCGGTCCAAGGATTGTCAAAAGCAAAAGAATATCAAGTGACAAAATGCTCAGGCCAATATAAACATGACAACCTTTCAAGTAAGGCACAAAACATGAATCTTTTTATGATCATTTCCAAATGCAGCTTAGTAGAAAATACAAAGAAATGTGGATGGATGCTGGAGCTACTCATCACATATGTGTAAATGCCTATACACTTTCTATCTACAAGGCGATGAATCCTGATGAACAATTCAATATAAAAAAACTCTTCATCTTCCAAAGTTGAAGCATATGGAAGATCATGCTGAAAATAACAAGTGGGTAGGAGCGGTAAATATGATTCTCTATCAAAAAAGTTTTGTTCAGAACTAGGAATTTTTCATCAAATATTTGCATCTTATTCTCCTCCATCTAATAGAATTGTTAAACGCTAGAATCTCAGATTGAACGAGATGATGAATGTTATGTAGATCAATTTGAGATTATAGTATGACTTATGGGGGGAAAATATCCTCTCTATCAGTTATATTCTCAACAAATTGTCACACAAAAATGCACAAGATATCTTATGAATTATGAAAAATATCACAAACCTAATTATAAATACTTAAAAGTATGATGATATTTTGCTAAGGTAGAAATTCCTAAACCTAGTTTAAGATATTATCTAAATCATTGATTGTTTATTCATTAGTTATGCCTATCATAGTAATGCGTACACAATTATTTGTACATAAGTCTAAATTTTAGATTTGCATGTTAATAGGATTATTGAATCAAGTGAAGAAATTTTCGAAAACTTTTTCCCTATAATATGTAAAGTGAATCAAATTTATTCAATATATCCTGTGATAATGGAGATATTATAGATCAGTAATCTATAAATGATAAGTGTACCTCCAGATGGCCAAAGATCTCGAGACCTCTCATGTCCGAACAAGCCATTTTCCTGCACACTAGGATAAATCGTTAGACACACATGACCTTCTTCGGTGGGTGTCGAGCCAACCACGCACACTCCGATGGTCAAGTCAATTGGAGAAGATGTATGCAAGTGTGGGAGGGCTTTTAACATGAGCCTCCAATATAAAGGGGGTAGAAATCGGGAGTAAAGAATATAGAGAGCAAAGTTATAGTATCAAAGTCTAAATTTGCATTACCTTTGGAATAACATCAAGTGTGAGTTTTTATAATGTGGGATGATGAATATGGACCATCGGATTGGAGGACACATGGCTCTACCTGTGAGCCTGAGGACGCCCGTCACGCCCATCAATCAATCAATCATGATGTTTAAATTGCAATGTTGGCTTGTCATTTCCCATTTTGTAATTTGCTATAATGGATTAGACCAAGTAGGCCGGCTATGGTGACGGTGTCAGGGGACAGTCAAATAAGTCATGTTGTTAGCTGAGATTCAGAAGATCTTCTGCCAATAACTCATTGCTAATCTCGTTTCTTTCGCCTGGGTCCCTGTGGAATGGTTCATCTCTACAGGTTCGGGTGTGTTGGTTCAGATAGGGATGAGTTCGATCTTAAAGGATTCATCCATTCGGTTCGTCATCCCATGGGTTCGACCGATAAAGGGTGCGGAGTGCCTATGGTTTTGCCTACCACGTGGCATATTTTTAGCCCCTGTTGGGAAAAGGGTATAACAATAGTTCCCGAAATCCATATATGGGTATTTATATAATGCGTGGACTTAAAAAGGTTGGGGGAAAAGGAAAAAATTAACGTGGTATAACAATAGTCCCCGAAGTCCATGTATGGGTATTTATATAATGTGTGGACTTAAAAGGTTGGGGAGAAGGAAAAAATGAATGTGGCCCTTGGTAGGGGTAAGCATCCGAAGAAACGATCCTTCAGAACTAATTATAGGAAGAGCCGGTATAAAGACAAAGTGGTGTTTCTGGTAGCTTGAATGTCGTGGGCATTAATTGTTGTTGACTGCAATGCTGTCACTTGGTTTTCCCAAGACGGGATGCATCGTTTCCAATGTAAGCTGTTGGACACGTGTTTTGATCCTGGCAGCAGGAAATGAAGCGTCAAGTATATTCGACGGTCCTGATGTCACTGCCATATGAATGGCCAAGATCTTTGCAATCAGATGGCTGAGAATGGTTATCGTTGCCTTTAAAAACGAGCTTTCGCTTTGCACGCTCATTTTCTAGCATAATTTGCATAATTTTGTGTGTATGTTGCATTTGGTTAAAGCA